GCTTCTTTTCCTCCCTGCTTCTGTCCCTACCCAAAGGCTCTTTTCCCATGCTTCTCTCTCATTTCATAGATTTCTGAATATGGCACATCATTTTGATATTCACCACCCCTTTTATCTACTGCCATGTTGTAGTAATGAATCATATCCCTCTAATTTGTAATGATCTCTAAGAAGTAAAATCTACCTCGTTAAATTCAAACCTCTTTTTGTTTATTGTGATCCTTGTTCTCTACGTTTTTTGTCGTTCAGTAGTTCAGTTGTGTTTGACTCTGTGACCCCATGGACCATAGCATGCCAGTCTCTTCTTTCCTCAACTGTCTCCCAAAGTCTGTCCAAGCTCATGTTCCCTGCACTGTCCATCTCATCCTTTGCCATCCTTTTCTCCTTTTGCCTTCAATCTTTCCTAACATCAGGGTTTTTTCCAGTAAGTCCCATCTTCTCATTATATGGCCATTAAGTTTCAGCTTCATTATTTGTCCTTCCAATGAATAGTCTGAAATATTTTTTTGAAGTATTGACTGATTTGATTTCCTTGTCCAAGGAATTCTCAAAAGTCTTCTCCAGGACCACCATTCTAAAATGTCGATTCCTTAAAGCTCAGCTTTCCTTATAGCCTTACTCTCACAGACATACATTACTATTGGAAAACCATACCTTTGATTATATGGACTTTTGTTGGCAATGTGATGTCTGCTTTTTAGTATTTTTCAAGGTTTGTCATAGCTTTTCTTTCAAGGAGGCAAGCATCTTTTAATTTCGTGGCTACAGTCACCATCTGCAGTGATCATTGACCTCAAGAATATAAAATCTGACACTGTTTCCATTTCTTCCTCCTCTATTTGCCAGAAAGTAATGGGGACCAGTTGCCAAGATTGTAGTTTTTGTTTTGTTTTGTTTTGTTTTATATTAAGCTTCAAGATGGCTTTTATACTCTCCGCTTTCATTCTTATCAAGAAGTTTCTTAATTTCTCTTCACTTTCTTCCATCAGAGTATTGTCTGTGTATCTGAAGTTGTTGATATTTCTCTCAGTAACCTTAATTCTGGCTTTTGATTCATCTAGCCAGGTATATCACATGACGTACTCTTCATATAAATTAAATAAGGTGAGAGTATACAGCCTTGTCATACTCCTTTTACAATCCTAAACCAATCAGTTGCTTCATGTTTGGTTCTGTTATTTCGTGACCCACAGACAGGTTCCTCAGGAGACAAGTAAAATGATCTAGTACACATGCCCCCCCTTTGAGAACTTGCCACATTTTGTTGTGATCTACACTTATTGTAGTTAATGAAGCAAAAGTAGATGTTTTTTTCTGGAACTCCCTTGCTTGCTTTCTCCATAATCTAGTGAATGTTGGCAATTTGGTTACTAGTTCCTTTGCCTCTTTGAAAACCAGCCTGTTCTCCTGGAAATTCTCAGTTCACATATTACCGAAGCCTAGATTGCAAAATGTTAAGTTTAACTTTGCTGGCATGTGAAATGAGTGCAATTGTTATTTGAACATTCTTTGGCATTGCCCTTCTTTAGGATTGGGATGCAAATTGATTCTTTTTCAATGCAGTGGTCACTGTTGAGTTTTTCAAATTTGCTGGCATATTGAGTGCAGCACTTTATTGTTGCTGTTGTTAACAGCACATTGATATTTAAAGCCGTGTTATTATTGTCCCTGTTCCTGGATACTGTCTCCTATGAATTACTGGATGTTTTTCTGCAGCTGTGTTCTATCAAGTCCAACCATGAAGGGAAGTCACTACCTGGAGGGGCATAGGATTCATTTGTTAACTCTTGCTTTTTACCTGTCATTTCGTAGTGCCATGTGTCACCCCACCACCATGCCCCACCCCTAGTAGGTGTGACTGTTGACAATTTGGGCCTAACCTGGGGGGCAGCAAGCAGAGTGCATCAGTCACACTGAATAAGGTGCAGAGAGTCCAAAGGCAGAGGGCATAGAGGGTGGGGTGGGAGAGGGAGGCAGACAGCACAGGTAACAGCAGATGGGAGAAGAAGGACAAATAAAGTCACTTACGTTACTGAGGATCAGAGTTGGGAACACTTAGGAAGCAGGGACCCATAGCAGTAGGAGTAGTGCTCAAGGGGCATGATTTTGGGGTTTCATTTTTATAGGATTCTAGTGGGAGGAAGGGGAATTAAGTCTTAATCCACACCCCTTGAGCGTTGCCTCATTAACATATCAAGGTCATCTGAAAATTAGCAAGACCATTTTAGGGTTGCCTCATTAACATAAAGTTATTCTGGCTTTATTGGGTGTCTGGTACTCATCTGCGTCTTGTAGGCTGAGGGCCCTTTGCTAGGGTCTACCTGGCTTCTCTTAATAGAGAATTTAGTCTCTGCATGTGGCCTTAATTGATGAGGCAGTTTTGGCAAGTGGCTTCTTTGTTTCCTTCTTACACTCTTAATTCCTCTTTCCTATCTTACACTGGCTACTTACATGTTTACTTATGACACTACTGTTGGGGTAGTCACAATTTTAATAGAAGCTGCTATTCTCTAAAATGGCTCATCAGATTTTAAAAAAAGAACTATTACTTTGGAGAATATGTGTGTATATATGTGTATATAATATGTATATGTGTGTATATACACATATACACATATATATGTTCACCAAATATATATAGAATGCACATTCTGTATTCTATAAACATATACATATACACACGTGTATATGTGTGTATATGTAATTTAGATTTGCATGTAATTGAATTCATTAATATTCAGCATGATTACCCTTCCCTTTCTCCATGTAAATCCAAGGTTGGCAAACTATGACCCGCATAAAATCTGACCCACTTCTTGTTTTTGTATAGACTTTGAGAGAAGATTGGTTTTTAAACTTTTTTTAATGGCTGAAAAAAATAAATAGAAAAATGGTATTTTGCGACATGAAAAAATTAAATTAACATTTCATTGTCAATAAATACAATTTTATTAGAACAGAACGGTGTTCGTTCCTTTACCATTGTTTCTATCTGCTTTCATCTACGGTGGCAGAGTTGATTAGTGTAAGACCACATGTGTCACTCTGATTACTTCCCACTACTGTTTGGTGTACTACAAATTGCAATGACGCAGTTTTAACTCTACAGTCTTTCAAGTGTCATATGTATCATTGTTACTTATTTTGTTTATTTTTTTTTATTACCAGTGCATACTCATCATGTTAAGACAAGAAAAAAAATTCATCATTTTTCATTATATTTTTATTTAATTATGATTTTTTAAAGCTTAATGCCAAATTGAAATTCTTCTGAATGAGAAGAACTTCCCTCAACCACTACTATCAAACATCAGATGCTGAATAGTTTTGGAAATTAGCTTTTGCTTGCAGACTTGAGAATATTTCTTAATGAATTCAACCTAAAATTACAAGAGAAAACAGTGCTTATATGTGAAATTTATAGTCTTTAAAGTAAATTAACCTGACAACTAATGTTGTTTGAATCGTAAGTATTGTTAAGTTTTTTATACACTTTCCATGCTGTCAAAAGCTAAAACATAGAAAACAAATTGCCATTCCCATACAAATTTGCGGTGTATGTATTTTCTGAGCTCAGACTACAGTGCTACCAGTGTTTTCAGACCTTGACACAAGTTCAAAAGAAATTCCTGTGTTTCAAAATTGATTTAATTTTGTAGTTAAGGAGCTTCTACTTAACTTTCGATGTAAAATGATTAATCTGTAACATAATGACATGCCAAAAAGAAAATATCAAGCAAAGACTCTAATAAAACCCGATAAATGCCTTCCAAGTGATTAATTTGCTTAATTAAAATCATATGCTTATTGATTGATATCAATATTTGACAATACCTATCCGTGTAAACCTTTAGCATCAGTTGTGAGACACGGGAGATGCTTGTGCAAGTCTGCTTAGCATAGCATGCCTGCATCCAAGAAGGTATTCTGCTCTGTGAGCAAAGCAGAATTGTAGTAGCACAAAGGAAACGTGAGATGTGCAAAAACCTCCATCCCAAATGTTCAGATGGACTATTTGTGCCCAACCTGTTATCCCAAAAGTCAGAATACCATTCTCATTAGTAGACCTGTATTACAAAAAAATGCACACCATTATCATTATATTGTGAATTTCATCAAAAAAGTTAAGGAAATTTGTTTTCTCTCTTTTTACATGTCTTTTCCTTTCCAAGTTTTCATTCTTTGGTGCTGTGCTTGATTATGTTCCCAGAAGCATAGCCCTCGTTACAATTTTAAAAGTTGACATATGTTACAGTGAGACAAAAGTAGAGTTATTAAAGAGAGCTCACATAATGCCCTAGTCTTCCTAGATTTGCCACTTTCCTGTACTCATTTTCCTAACCAATTTTTTGAGTGCTATCAGTAAACAGAAAAAGGCTTTCCTATTACTGCCATTCTTGCCAATGTGAGAGTATGTAGTAGATGAGCAATTCTTAGTAATACCCCCATACCCCCACCCATTTGAAGGGTAAGTAGAGGAAGGGAAGTTTTCTTCCCTTTTGCATATAAGAAGAAAGTATATGGTTTGTTTTCTGCGTTCACAAGAGAAAATCAGGTTTATTATATATAGGGAAACAAATTAAGTCATCAATGTTATGAATATCTCAGGTATAATTTTTGACAATCTCTTGTGAGTTACTTTCTTTGTCCTTTGTAGTTATTGACTTTAAGCTACATAGTTCATCAATTAATAGTTTAAATTATTTTACCTAAGGTATTTGTAATAATTCACTTTGGCTACTGAACTGAAGTCTTGGATATTTTTGAGTGTGTACATGCATATGCTTTCTGACATTTTAAGTATTTATGGATATCTGAAAGAGTTTATATAAAAGCCCCAATGCTCACTAAGGAAATACATAAAATTTATTGACAGTAGGAAGAATTATTTTTGCTTTCATTTTAATGTTTATTTTCTAGGTATTTGCAGAAGATTTTCAGTTAGTTTACATTAGAATCAGTACTTTTAATTAGTTTTTTTTTTCCTTTGTTTATTCCAGCTCCTGGTGACAGTTTGTTAACAGTACAACGAGCAGAATTATGCACAGTCATGAAGAAGTATACTCAAGCCCTTCATGATGCAGACGTAGTTTGCAGAAGTAAACCCCTATGGCCAAAGGTATTATTTCTTGGTTTTGAATGGAAAGTAATAATTTATCTGCAAGAGAAATAGTACTTTTGTCTGGGAAACCTTTTAAAAAAGAGATATAAGTAATTGACATTAAGTACATATGGATAGTAGCAGTTTCTGCATAATTACACAAGTATCCTTATGAATTATTGTGCTTTTACTAATCAGGTTAAAAGACATAGTCTTGGCCTTCCTAGAAACTTTACCTAATATATCACTAATTTGGACAGATGCTAAATGACATATGGATAACTGAATAAATATTAGTCAACTGTAATCTCTAAACAAAGTAAGTGCATTTTGTGGAGTGGCAAGTGAAGAAGTATACTAGGAGTTCCACATTTAAGCAGTGTAATTGGTTTTATAAGTTGAAGTATAAATGTAAGTAATTTTGAGGTGTGACATTTATAAACAGTACACTTGTATTGCGGACAGGTTTAAATATAGGAAAAAATGATTAAGAAAAACAAAGAATTTAAAATACTAGAAAATTGTGTTAATGAGAGTGTTTGACTTTGGTCCCAAATCTTGTAAGGAGATTAGTATTTTTCCCACACTGGCAGAAAAAGGAATATTGATAAATAATAATAGTCCAACAATGGTAACTTAAATTAGATTTAATGGATTTCAGGAAGCCAAAGATGGAAATATGTAGAAACTTTCTGAACTTATCATTTAAAGCCTCCCCAATATCCATCTATATTTTGAATTCTTAAACTAAAAAATTCATTATCCTCCTGTCATCTAAGAAACACCAAGCAGTGTTGTAAAAAGAACCCTAGCTTTGGAGTCATAAATTCTACATTCAAATCATGCCTCAAAGGGTATCATTGTAATGGTCACAGGAGGTAAATCACATAACTTTTCTGGGCCTCCCTTTCCTTACCTATAAAATGAGATTGAAATAGATTGATATTTCTTACTGATCTAAATCTATGATCTTGTTAATCATTTGTTAACTAAAGAATTTTTCTCCCTGTTTTATTTTCTGTTCTTGGGAATCAGTGTTTATCAATCACGTGGAATAAGGCAAACATATAAATTGGGATATAACAATTCTTTTCAAATGAATGAAGCCCATTAAGTGATTGTATTATAAGAAACCATATACCTTTGGAATCATAAAAAGTTGAAAGATACCTTAAAGATCATCTAGTTAGTCCAGGTCCTTTATTTTGTTTTTTAAATTAATTTTATTTTCTGAAAAATTAATAAGTAGTTATTTTCTCTCCTTCCTATCCCCTTTACTTTTACCCCTGGACAAAAAAAAAAATGAAAACAAAAACAAAACCCTTGTAACAAATATCCAAAGTCAGACGAAACAAATTGTAACATTGGCCATGTCCAAAAACTTATGTCTCGTTCTGCATATGGAATTCAATGCCTCTTTGTAAGGAGATGGATAACCTCCTTCATCTTTGGTGTTCTGAAATCTTAATTGGTCATTGTGTTGATTATATATCTTAAGGATTTCAAAGTTGATCCTTTTTACAGTGGAGTATAAATTGTTCTCCTGCTCATTCGCTCTGTATTAGTTCATGCAAGTCTTTCCAGGTTCCTCTGAAACTGTCCCTTTCATCATTTCTTATGATACGATAGTATTCCATTACATTCATCTGCCATAATTTATTCTCTCCCTACCTCCTCCTTCCACCTTCGTTGAGAAGGCAAGCAATTTGACATTGGTTACATATATGTAGTCTTGCAAAACACATTTCCACGTAAGTCATTCTATAAAGAAAACACAGACCAAAAAAAAAAAAATGAAAGAAAGAAAAGACAAGAAAAAGAAAAGTTGTGGAATCTGCTGCTATCATAGAATTAGAACTGGAGTAGACTTCGGTGTCATCTAAGAGCATCCACATCTGAACTTTGAAGATGTTTCTGTGTTTGTAGAATGAAGGCATTGAACTAGAACTCTAAGGTTCTTTCTACCTCTAATTCCTATAATCCCAACAGATGATCTCTCCAGGATGACTTCTAATGATGGAGAATGCCCTTTTTTCTCAAAGCACTCCATTCTACTTAGAACAATTTTAATTGTCGGAAAGTTTTTCTTAACCGAAACTAAAGTCTTCCTGGTACTACTGTACATTGGTCCTAGTTCTGTTCTGAGTGGCCAAATAAAACAAGTTTAATATCATAGTTTTGGGTCTTATTTCTAAAAGTAACCTTTATCTCATGGAAAAACGTCATTTACAGTTACTCTAGCAATTTCTTTTTTTCTTGAAGACTCTTTGGACTTTTTTGCATGTGTTCCATTAAAAAAAGCAATTCTCTGTTAAGTGCCTACTAGGTGTTGAGGATATAAAAACAAAAATAAACATATTTTACCCTTAAGGAGCTTAAATTCTATTAGATATTCCAGCCCCAATTGGGAACTATACCCAAAGGACTACAAAAATGTGCATACCCTTTTACCAACCAATACCACTACTAGGTCTGTATCTCAAAAAAGGTTTTTGAAAAAGAGAGAGAAAATGACCTATTTGTGCACTAATATTTATAACAACTCTTTTTTGTGATGGCAAAGAATTGGAAATAGAGATGTCTGTCGACTGGGGAATTGCTGAACAAGTTGTTGTATATGATTGTGATGGAATACTATTGTACCATAAGAAATGACGAGCAGGATGCTCTCAGAAAAACCTGGAAAGACTTACATGAACTGATGCAAAGTGAAATAAACAGAACCAGAACATTGTACATAACAGCAATATTTTGTGATGATCTATTGTGAATAACTTGGCTATTCTCAACAGTACAGTGATCAAGACAGTTCTGAAGGACTTAAGATGAAAGGTGATATCCATTTCCAGAGAAAGAACTGATGGAGCCTAAATGAAGACTAAAGATACTTGAAACTTTCTTTATTTTTTTCTTTTTCTTGTCTTTTCTTTCTTTCATTTTTTTTTTTGGCCTGTGTTTTCTTTATAGAATAACTTATGCGGAAATGTGTTTTGCAAGACTAAATATATGTAACCAATGTCAAATTGCTTGCCTTCTCAATGAAGGTGGAAGGGGGGGAGATAGGGAGAGAATTTGGAACCCAAAATTTTAAAAAAAAAGAATTTTAAAAATGTTTTTACAAGTAATTCGGGAGGAAAATAAAATGCTAAATTAAAAAAAAAAAGATATGTCAGCTCCAGTGCAACTATCTACATAATATCGATCTTTTTGGTCTTTCTCAGATATGGCAATTGCAAACTATCCTGAAAGGAAAAAAAAAGTTAAATTCTAAGAAAAAAGAAACTACTGCCCTTCCTGAATTATCAATTAATGAAATTTCTTTTTCTTAAAAATTTATTATTTTTAACGTTCATTTAAAACAAATTTTGAGTTCTTAATTCTCTCCTTCCCTTCAGCCCATTGAAAAGGAAAGCAATATGATATAAGTTATACATGTGAAATGATACAAAGTATATTTCTGTATTAGCCATGTTACAAAGTAACAGCAAGAAGAATAAAGAAAGTAAAAACAAAAATTATACTCCAGCCTGCACCTAGACTTCATCAGTTCTCTCTTTGGAGGTGGATAGCAATTTTCTTCACGAGTCCTTTTTAATTTTCTTGAATCATTGTATTGATCAGAGTAACTAAGTCTTTCACAGTTGATCTTCCTTAAAATATTGATGTTACTGTGTACAGTTGTCTGGTTCCACTCACTTCACTTTGTATCAGTTCACATAAATCTTCCTAGGTTTTTCTGGAACCATCCTGCTTATCTTTTCTTATAGAACAATAGTGTTCTAGCACACTCTTATACCACAGCTTATTCAGCCATTCCCCATTCAGCCATGGAATTTCTTAAAAATAGTTTAGTTCATCTCCTTCATTTTATAGTTAAAAAACAAACAAAAAAAAAATACCAAAAACTGAGGCCCAGAGAGGATAAGGAAGATACCCAGGTAGTTGATTTTTGGAACCATTAGAACTCAAATCTCTTCATTCACAATCCACTACTCTTTTAAATGTCACATGAAGCCATTCACTGAGAATTCCCTCTTCTCCATCTCACATTATTCAGATACCTTTTCCCCCTATTTCCTCCTTCACTCTTGTATCACGTGAAGTGGTGGCCCATTTCTCTGCCAAGCAAAATCCCTTGCTTTAACAAGTGATCCCATTCTAGCTTATCTTCTTCAGTAGATTGTTTCCACTATCGTCCCCACTCTTATTAATCTCCAGTCTCTCCCTGTCTGACTGCTTCCCTACTGCATGCAAACATATTCGTGTCTTTCCCATCCATTAAAATACTCACTTGATCCATCCATCCCTACTAGATATCGTCCTATATCTTGCTACTCTTCCATAGCTAAACTTCTTCACAAAGCTACCTACAATCAATGCCTCCCCTTCCTTTTCTTTTACCCTTTTCTTAACTCTCTACAGTCTGATTTCTGACCTCATAATTCAAGTGAAATTACTCTCTCCAGTTAACTGTGATGAAGTCTTAACTACTAAATCTATCATCAGCCATTTATTCATCCTTATCTTTCCGACCTAGTAGCAGCACTTAACACCATTGATCACCTTCTTTTCCTTGATATTCTCTTCTCTCTTAAGTTTTCATGACATTGCTCTTTCCTGGTTCTCTTCCTGCCTGTCTGACCATTTCTTTTCAGTCTCCTGTGCTGGATCTTTATCTCAGTCAAGTCCATTAAACATGAGTGTCCCACATGGTTATGTCCTGTGCCCTTTTCTCTTCTTTTTGCCCTCTCTGTTATTTTTGCTTGGTGATCTCAAGTTTCCTCATATTCAATGATCATTTTTATACAGATAGACACATATTCAGCTGTAACTCCTCTCCTGACCTCCAGTGTTACATCTCCAACTGCCTATCAGACATTTCTTACTTGATGTTCTATAATCATCTTAAACTCAATATGTCCAAAACTTAATTCATTATCTTTTCAGTTCAGTTTAGTGAACATTTGTTATGCACCTCTTATCTGCCAGTGCTAAACACTGGGAATACAGATAAGACGAAGACAATCCTTGCCCTCAAGTAGCTTACAATCTAATGGGGGTGGACAGCTCACAAAAAGAAGCTAGAATAGGAGCAGGGGGAACCACCAAGGAATATGTGATGGTAGGGTATCTTGTTCCAAAAAGTTGAAGCCCAACAGAACACTATGGATTCTTCATGACTTCCCTATTGCTGTGGAGGGAGTATCGCCATCCTCTTAGTCCCCTAGGCTGATAACCTCACTGTCATCCTTAACTTCTCTCATCCCTTATTTCCAGTCTATTGTCAAATCCTGTCAGTTTTACATTTGTAATTTTCCTCCTATACATTCCCTTCTCTCCTTACTTTGCACCTTATCATCTTATGCCTAGACTACTATGATAGCCTGCTGCTTGGTCTCTCTGCCACAAGTTTGTCTCCATTTCACTCCGTCTTCCACTCAGCTGCCAAAATGATCTTCATAAAGCATATATCTGACCATGTTACCCTCCACCCCCTCAATAATCTCCAGCAGCCCTCTACCACTTCCAGAATGAAATAGAAAATCCTCTTTTAGCTTTCAGAGTCAGTCAGTAAACATTTATTAAATGCCAGGCACTGTGCTATGTGCTGGGGGTATAAAAAAAAGGCCAAGATGGTTCCTGTCCTCAAGGAGCTCTCAATTTAATGGGGAAGAAAACAAGTATAATAATATATGCAAATAAGCTATACAAGGTAAATATGAAATAATTAAAAGAAGGAAGGTATTAGAATTAAGAGGGGTTTGGAAAAGCTTCCTACAGAAGGTGGGATTTTAGTTGAGACTTGAGGGAAGCCAAGAGGCAGAGGTGAATCTCTTATAACTTGACCCTCTTACTTTTCCATTCTTCTTACTTTTCACTTCCCTTCCACAACTGCCATAATCTAGTGACACTGCCCTCCTTGCTGTTCTTTACACACAACACTCCACCTCCTGACTTGGTACATTTTCACTGTGTCTCCAATGCTGGAATTCTCTTCCTCTTCATCTTTGCTTCATGACTTTCCTGGCTTCTATCTAGTCTCAGTTAAAATTCCATCTTTTTCAAAAGGCTTTTTCTAGTCCTTCTGGTGCTAGTGTATTTCTTCAGTGATTATCTCCAATTTATCTTCTGGGTGTTGTGTGTATTTTTAATGCAAATGGTTACCTTTGATTTAAAATTAGAATAAGCAAATGAGTTAAAATCTACTTGTTCTAAGCTAAATTGACAAAATAAATCACTAGAGAAAATGACATGTATGATATGTAGCAGAGACTTTAAAAAATATAGGGATGAAACTGGGGAAACATTGCTAACGTGTGTAGCCTCTTATTAATAGCTTATATGCCCAGAGCACAGTAGATATGTGATTGCAAATATGGCAGTCATTTTTTATATGAAAATCTCTTTAATTGAGACAATGTGAGGAGTGTGGGGGGAAAAAAGAATTTTAGGATTATTTTAATTTTCATGTTGGAAAATCTATATGAACATATAACACATTACTAATCACTTAAACCAGAATATTCCACTGAGGAAAAAAAGATGACATATTCTCTGTAAGGAATTAAGCTTAATTTGTTTGGTGAAAAATACAACAATTTGAAACTCAAATGAGGTAAATTTATGATAAATGAAAAGAAGTCCTGCTTCTTTTCAAGCAGACACTGGTAAAACATGTAAATTAATTTAAAAATGTATAAAATATCTGTGGATTCCTCTTAGCAAAAGCTGAGCTATCAGGTTAGCCCTAGAACAATCAAGCCTCCTATACATAGTTTGTCCCTTCCAGCTATAAAATACCAGAAGTTCCTTTGTAATCTAGTAAGTAGGTAGTTTGGAGAAATTTAGACTTTAGTAATTTGGCATTGACTTTGTCAAAGGAATATAGTAGAAGTCATTCACACATGGTTCATTTGTTTTAAAATTTGCTTAACAAATTAGTTTCAATGATTATTCTTCAAGCTTATTGTTCTTAAAGTAGGATGAATTACATGCATATTGCATTTTAAGTATTTATCTTTTTATTTGCTACATATAGGGACATTATGTGAAAGCTCAGGCTCTTTCTGGATTGGGAAGAACTGAGGAGGCATTGAAGGAGTTTCTCTATTGTGTTGCCTTAAATCCTGGACGAGGAAAAGTAAAGAAAGAAGCCCAAAAGGTAGAGTGATTATTTGAATGTGGTTTTTTTTTTCCTTCAAATTAGGCTGCATTTTTTCTTTTTTTTTTTTGAAAAAGTTTTATTGTTTTATTTATTTTGTTAAGTATTTCCCAATTGAATTTTTTCACATTGATTTTTTAAAATTTTGAGTTACAAATTCTCCCCTCCTTACTGTCTATCCCTCATCCATTGAAAAGGCAAGCAATATATTAATTATACGTATGAAGTCATTCAAAAATTAGCCATGTTGTCAAACAAAAAGCAAGAAGAAAAAAGTGAAAAAGGGATGCTTCAATCTGCACTGAGTTCATCGATTCTTTCTCTGGAGACTGATAACCTTTTTCATCATAGGTCCTTTGGAATTATTTTGGATTACTGTATTGATCAGAGTAGCTAAGTCTTTTCAGAATTTGATCATTGTTACATTATTGTTGTTACTGTGTACAGTGTTCTCTTGGTTCTGCTCACTTCACTTTTCATCAGCTCAAAAAGTCTTCCCAGGTTTTTCCCAAACCAATCCTGCTTATCATTTCTTTTAGTACAGTAGTATTCCATCACAATCATATACCACAACTTGTTCAGCCATTCCCCAGTTGATGAGCATCCCCTCAATTTCCAGTTCTTTGCCATTGGGATGCATTTATAAGTTCTACATTTTTCATAAAATTAGCTATTAAGAAGCACTTTCTCTACATTCTATGAATTTAAGAATTTTACTATTCTAGTATCTGAGTTGGATATCCTTTCCCCCCTCTATGGCTAGTAGTGCTTTATGATAGTAGATACACATAACCCAATTCTGTATAAAATAATGATAATGTCATAGGGGAAATAGAGACTTAATGTGATGCAATAGGCTTGGGTGTCTAGATCATTTTCCCCTTGAGTGAGTAACTGAAGTAACTACAGTTTTTATAGCTGGGGACAAAAACTCAATTCTCAATACATTTTTCATTGTATCATGTTCTTAAAAAAGAAAAAGAATCATTCAATGGCCAACCTTTCTGGTGCTGTGTCTTTTTGCATTTAACTAGGCTGGTTCTAGGACCAAAGACAATAGTCTATTGTTGGAGCTTTCTCAAAGCCTCTCCAGTTTGGTATAGACTGCCAGAGCTCATGTTTCACTGGCGTAGCCTTCATAGCCATCATCAGTATTATGTTAGTAGAAATAAGATTTGAGCATAAAGGGCATAAATATATTATTGAGAATATTTATTTATGAGGATGTGGCCAGTAGTGAGAATGAGAAACAATAAATAAACAGTCCCAGTATACCAAAAGAACAAGAGAAGGAAGAACCTTTAACACATTGGGTAGATCTTTTATGGAGTATTTATGGGAAAACATGAACAAGATAAAATGTTGATAATGCGTAGAATGAGGAGGTGGGATGGGGTGGTAGTCTGCATTAGTGAAGAAAACACACCAAGGAAATGACAGATACCTCAAAGTGTCTTAGTGTTGCAGTATATTAATGCAGTTTAAATGAATTTACCTGAATTTTTCTTAGCAGTTATTCAGATTTTCACTTATAAGCATAATGTAGGTCAACTTTTTGTTAGAATTTTTTCCCATAACGGCTTGGTACTTCAGAGAGAAATAATTGTTTCTTATCCATTAGAATATATTAAGAAACTTTTGTCATATGAATCCAGTAGCAGATGCTTAAACATCATAGGCAGTCTGACGACCACCTATTGTAAGTACTTAAAGTTGAGGAGATTAGAATTTAATTGTAAATATTCCCTGTGAGAAGATCAACCCTATTTTGGGAAAGATATTTTTAACCTTAGATTTTTATTTGTTTTGTTTTGTGTTGTTTTTTTTTTCATCTGGACAATGTATGACAGTTCTTTTTGGAGTTATTTAAACAAAACATCCTTTAGACTTCAAAATCTATAAGCTTCCTGAGGTATGTTGTCTCTGAAAATGTGGTGGCCCCAATATTTTCTTTTCTTTGTAATTATTTAGGTAATGTGTGAAGTGTTTTTCCCAGCTTTGGAAAATGTACATGAAAATTTAACATCTTCCTTCCGAAGTCGAACACCTTACACCAGATTGAAACCTAAATTTACAAGTAACATAAATACTCAGTCTGAACTACGAGATGATTCTAGTGCAGGATGTTCTAAGGTAGGAAGTCCTTACATTTTTTGATAGTCTTGATTTAATACTGCTGTAGTGTTCCAAAAATATTTAGCAAAATAATTAAGATATTAAGTACAACATGAAAAATCTACAAATAATCCTTGAAGTCTGCTTAGCTTTAGCTTGTGTCTTATTGTAGTACCAGTTAAGGTACTGCATTTTGTGACACCTGGGTTGTGAAAGTTAGGTAATTTGGAAGGTGTCAAGGAGAGTGATGAAAATAATTATAGTGCACATTTTTATGATATTTTAAGGTTTTGTACACATCAGAATGTTCTCAAAAGAACTCTGTGAGATGGCTACTGCAAGTGTTATTACTCCTATTTTATAGAAGAGGAAACTGAGGTTTGGAAAGTTTAAGTAACCTCCCCATGGTAACCACATTTTTAAGTGTCAGAGGGGAATCTTAATTCAAGAATCTTATAACTTTAAGTTCTGAACCCTTTGTGCTATACCTCATAAATAACTCAAGAAAGGGTTAGAAGAAATGACATTTAAAAGAAAAAAGTTGAATTGTGTTATTTTGCCTGGAGAAGAGAAATCAGAAGGACTTCTTTGACATTTGAGAAGATTTTTTTTGTGTAGGTGAATGGAGCTCAGTTGGTTCTCTGAAGAAATCCTCACCATGAAAATCTGGCATTTTAAGGTCTAATAGCAGTTGAAGCAGGTTACAGAAGAAGATTGTAGGCTCTTGTTTCTTTAAAGATCACTAAGCTTTTTTTCCTGATATTCCCCCTTTAAATTGTTTATATCTTTTATTCCCAGGATTCTTTGTTCCAATTCAATAAAACTCTGTCCCAGGAGTCTGATGTCTATCAAAACTCCGATTCTTCAGTTTCACATCTTGTACTCGATCAACATTTTGAAGATAAAAAAAAGACTTTTAAAACAACCCTTTCCAGTGTGTCTAGCACTAGTTTAAAGAGAGAGTTTCCTACTGATTTGGAAGATGTGCAGAATTTGAACGTCCCTAACAAAATTTCCAAGGAAGGTTAGTGACCTACAGTTCATTGGAGGATGTGACTTCAAAGCATTGAGTATTAAGTTCTGGTGTGTATCTTAAAAGGGGTGGTGAGAAGGATACACTCTATTATATTTGTTTTTATACTATAGAAAATTGAATGAAGTTTGTACAACTTTGTGCTTCAATCCCTTCCAGTTTTACCCCTCCTCAAAAAAAAAAACTTTGAAAAACTCATTGCATTATTGAGTTAAAAAAAATATATATAGTCCAGTATTGTGAAATGGGAGAAAAAAGAAATGAAAACTTCATCAGTGGTGACAGCTGGGCAGAAGTGCTTATTAGGTTCTTGGTCTCGGCATAAATTTAATGATTTCCCAAAGTGAAGTTTTCCCATACTTCACAAGCTACTAAACTTCATAAGCATGTTTTTGCTACAGATTACAAACTACTAAGAAATCATAATTGTTTAAATATTACCTACTGACTCAAGAGTGATAAAGGCCTCAAAGAATTGGCATTTTCTTCAGTTGTTTTGTGTAAGAAATGCTTGTGTGTTGTTTTCTTTCACATATAATTATTTACTTCCATCTATTTTAAATAATTTGTTGTGCTTGCCATCATAACATAACATGAATCACACATTCCATTAATACTCCAGATGATTTGTTTTCCCTCCCTTCAAGAAGAAAGTGCAAAACAAATCTCTTTCTGTATTTTAATAGCTGAAATGGTATTGTCTACCAGGGGTGGGGAAACTTGTGGTCTCGAGGCCACATGTGGTTCTCTAGGTCTTCAATGTGGTCCTTTGACTGATTCCAAACATCACAGATTCTGTCTGGATTCAGTCAGAGGGCTGCACTTAAGGACCTAGAGGGCCACATGTAGCCTCCAGGCCACAGGTTCTTTACCCCTGAACACCATAACTCTTCATCAAACCAATTAAATTTTTAGAAATAAAGAGTCCAGAAAGCAGAGTTCATTGCTGTGATGCTTCTTGGATCTGATCAGGTTAGGTATATCTCAGCTAATTATGTCCAGTTAAAGTTGGGAGAGGATCAAAATTTCTGATAGTATGGGGAGTATTTGGAAGTAGAACTTTCATCAAAGTTAAAAAGAGTGATTGCTGTGAGTTTTTTTTTCCAATTACATATAGTTTTGTTTTTAAACTTTCAGAATTTAAGCTGTGAAAGTTAGCTGTCATGTTAACTATGATTGATTTTAAGTCAGATAGCTCATAAATAATTTTTAGGGCTAGTTTAACCTACATGTTTGTCTACATGATCATAATTTCTGTGTGCTTGCTAACTAAAAGAGAAGTAATGTACTTAACCTGTTATTGAGCCTGCTATCTAATCTTTCTAATTCTTCTTTTTTTTTTTTTTT